TCCAAGCAATCTTATTTGACTATATATAGAAACAAGCCTCTCCCTTCATATTTTAGATTAAATCACTGTGTGATCTTGAAATGAAAGCATGGAATTTGCATGTGTTCATTCTTCCTTGACTATACATACAGATATCTTAAACAGAACGCTACCTTTGGACATATCCTGTTTGGAAACTTTTTCAGATTTCCTAATTGCATAGAAAGAAAAATACGTTTTCATCAAGTCAATATAAGTCTGCAACCAGTTTTCTATAAATGATTTTATTTTCCGTCCTTTTGATATGGACCAAGCGAGTAGCTCTCCCACTGAAAAACTTTGTTTTCTTTCCTATAGGGATTTTAAATTTTCTTTTCCTTACCTTTCCTTTTCCCCAGTTTCTTAGCTCCTCTCCTCTCTCTTCTGTACCCCCCCCCACTGCTTTTTAATTATTTTGTAAATCAGTTTCTTAATCTTAGGCAACAGATTTTTTGGGGCCTGAATCATAAGAAGTGTTTTTACCCCCTGCTTAAATAATTATCCTGAAATTTGTAATTTATACTTGGTGATTGTAATCATTGCAGCCTAATGTTCTTTCCAATCCATTGTGGGCCCAGCTCCTAGACAATTAACACCACCTGAATGACCGGTTGAAAGGCACAAGCTCCACATAGCAAACTGATTTTCTATCACATAGCCGCCCTGCATCAGTAGATTTGAGCTCTGCTCTTTAAGCCAACACTTTTAAATTTATTAATTAAAATCTATTTTTCCTCATTCAGGGGCCTTGGGGATACAGATGATACCCCAGCAAGATTACCAGTCACAACCAAAGAAGCCAACATGGTCTTCCAGGCAGATCTCAAGACCCCTCCTCTCATCTAAGATCAGCTAGGGTGAAGGTTCCATGAATCCCCCAATAGGCAGAGACACATCTACACCCCAGCCCAGCAGGAAGAAGACACAGAAGAAAAGACCTCCTATACCTCAACTTCCCATAGAGATTTTATGGGAATCACATCTCTCAAGGGGAAAACTAGGCAGGCAGCTAGAGACGGACATTAGGTCTCTGCATTCCTGCACATCCAACACAACCCAAAATGATTGTGACCGCCCAAAAGATTTCCCCTCTCCGCCCCAAACTTTCCCTTTTCATTATAATTATCTACCCCCTCTGAGGAAACAAATGGGTACAAAATACCCAGCTAGATTAGACCAGTCACTCATGCCTACACAGTAAAGACCACAACGACCTTCATTTCACCTGGGCCCCTTTATACCATCATTATAACATACATATGCCCAGAAGTTCATTATCATTATAACAGACTGAATTCTGGGAAGGAATATGTGCAGTCTATAAAGATGAAGTAATAGCCTCCTGTCAATCACAGGTGTCAATCAAGGGGTCCCACACCTGAAGAGGAACAGCCCATTCTAGAAAAAAAAAAGATGGGATAAAAACTCTAAGTCCTCGCCAGTCAGAGCCCTTTGAGCCTTTTGAGCCACACTTTTGCTCAGGCCTGCTCCGATACCTTTGCAGTGTACATTCTCTTCTAATAATGGCCCTCAAGCTACTTTTCTTTGTGCTCGGGCCTGCTCCTAACTCTTTGGAGTGTACTATCTTTTCTAATAAACTTCTCTTTCATCATTTTACCTCTGTGCTTCATTCAATTCTTTGCTTGAGACGCCAAGAATCTGGACATCACGCTGAGGAGGGCCCACCCCAGCACCGGAACAGCTAGGATTCCCAGTTTTCCTCCAGGAGACCCGGGTTCAACTCCCAGTGTGGGAATCTGGCCCAGACTCTGCTGGGTTCAATCCCTGGTGTGAGAGCCAAGCCCAGGCATCATACCGAGAAGGGCCCCACCTCTGGTAACACTTTTGAGTTTTACTTTACTGACTTTTACTTGGAACTTATTACTTCTCATTAAATTTTACAACAAAGATGTGACTCATCACTTGAGTCTTTTTTTGTTCTCATTTCAGATATAAACAAATAAAATTTCTCCCATTGTGAATCTCCTTTTGTGGTCATTATGCCTACAAAGTCTTTTTCCCCAAGTGAAATTTTACATTTTTATATTTTGTTAGGAAGATTTTTAGTCACTTTTAGTGTGACATATTTTACTGCATGCCGTTTTTTACTTTTAAAAATATTTTTAAACTTTCCCTTTTAAGATCATTTTAGACCTACAGAGTAGCAAAAAAAAAAAAGGACAGAATTCCTTTATACCCTTCACCCATCTCCTCCTACTATTAATACCTTACATAACCATAGTATGATTCTCAAAACATGTCTTGTTAGGGAGACCACTTCATAGACGGTGTAGAGGCCTGACCACCACACTGTAGTTCTGAAGCTGATGTTGAATAATATTGTATGTCAACTATAATTATATATACATATAGTCACGGGACATGGAGTAGAGAGTGGGAATGGAGTCAATGGAATTGTAATAGATAAGTATGCTATGGGGGGGGGCAGTCGATGGGGGAGGGCGGTTGTTTCTTTTGAAGGATGAAAAGGATAACTATTGCATTGTTCTGTACACCTGAAACTAATAATAAAAAATAATAAAAAAATTTTTAAACTAAGGAAGTAACTTTAGGACAATACTACCAACTAAACTACAAACTTTATTTGGGTTTCACCCATTTTTCCACTAATGTTCTTTTTCTTTTCCAGGATCCAGTCTAGGATCCCACATTACACTTAGTCAAAAAAAGGAAGACCAAATATGAGATGGATTGACTCCATGAAAGATTCATAGGCATGAGACGACAGGAGCAGAGCAGAGATGTTGAGGGCAGGACATTGTGGCCATCACTCATTCATAGGGTCGCCAGGAATTGAAGCTGACTCTGGCATGTAACACACACTCTTTAATGTATGATAGCTCCTGTCTTTCCTGTCTCTGAGACTTGTGAAGAGCACTGGTCAGTTATGTTATGGAATGTTCCTCTATTTGTATTATCTGATATTTTCCCATGATTAGCCTGAGGTTATACATTGTTAGGAAGGATATGACATACATGATATGCTCTTCTCACTGCATAAAATAATGGGGTACATGATGTCAATATGTCTTATTTCTGATGATTGTTAACCTTAGTCACTTGGCTAAGGGGGTGACTGCCAGTTTTTTCACCATACAGTTACTAATATTTTTCCCGTTGTTATTAATAAACATCTATTTTGGGAGAGATACCTTAAGACTATGCAAATATCCTGCTTCTCCTTTAAGCTTTTGCCCACTAATTTTAGCATCTATATGTGGATCTTGCCTGCAGCAGTTTTGCTGTGGTGTTCTTATGGAGAATGTCTATTTCCTCATTCCTTCCACATTTGTTAGTTGGAATTGTTCTGTAAAAAACAATTGTCCCTTCTCCCTCATTTGTTTATTTATTCATTCAGTTATTTACTTATCTCAATATAGGCAGGCTGGAGGATATTTATCTGATTCATTTTTTATTATTTGGGTTTGTGATCTGAGAGCCAAAACCTCAACTGTGAAAATGGAGGGAAAGTCTTCGTATTGTCACTAAGTTTGGGTAACAGAAACCTACTTTGTTGACTTCAGCCAAAGGATCTGAGAAAACCACAGACTTGTTGGGAAGGCTGAAGCCACAGCCTGGAAACGGACAGGAACCCAAGGCAGTCCCTGGACCAGGAAGCCCACAGGCGGTGGCCCGGGACAGGACTAACCTTACAGGGCCTCTGTTGGTAGGGACAGCACCTGCTGCCTTCATCTTCTCAGTCACTCTAATCAGGATTCAAGTCTGGAGGGAATCTTTATCCATTGGATGGGGGAGGCAGAAGGCTGATGATTTTCATACCAGAAATATTTACATAAGGAAGAGAGGAAATAGATGCTAGGTAGCCAGAAACCACTCACCTTTCAGTCCCTTGGAAACCAACCCTTCTCCTTGCCCTGTCCTCAGGAATAAAAGTTGAAGCCATGCTCTCAGTGTCATCTCCGAACCCACCACAAACTCTGAGGGAAACAAAATATAATTCCTCATGATATGATGTGGCATATTAGAAAGGGCAGGGACCCAGTGCCTGGGTCAGCACTCTGGTCCCCTGAACCTTAACCAAATGTCTTCATGTCTCTGGGTGGGGCTTCACTTCTTCTACTGTGAAGTGGTTATAAGTGGACTTAATAATCTCTAAGGTCTCATGGGAGGCTAAATGTCTGTAATTAAGATTTCAAAATTCAAGTGCACCAAAGAACACCCACAATGGTTCATGTTATATGAGAAAATGTGGAAGAAATGGGGCCAAGGACCCTGAAAAATATAAAATTAGACATATTTCACAAAACCATAGATTCCTAATGTTAAAGGAGACCTCAGAGCTGTTTTCCGAAACCCTACTGTGTAAGAGAATCACTTGGGAATCTTGTTAAAATGCAGGTTATGATTCAGTAGATCTGGGTGGGGGCTGCTTTGTCCAGGGATCACATTTGAATACCAAGCATCTAGGGAAAAATGGGTGGTTCTTAGCCTTGACAGCACATTGGAATCCCCTTGAGAAGCTTTAAAAAAATACTTATGGCTGGCGTGTCCCGTCCCCCCCAACGAGATCCTGATTGATTTGGTCTTGAATGCAGCCTGGGCATTAGAAGGTTCAAAAACTCCCCGTTGATACTAATATGCACTGAGGTCTGAGAACCACTGCCCTAGTACAAACCTCTCAAACTTGAGCACGCGTGGGCATCACCTGGGGGTCTGGTTCAAACTCAGCTCGCTGGGCCTCGCCCCCACAGAATCTGACTCACAAATCTGGGGTGGGTCCTCAAATTTGTATTTTTAACAAGCTCCCCGGGGATCCTAACTCGGCTGGTCAGTGGCTTTGGAGGGCATCTAATTTGATAGCGATGTTTCCCACGTGGGAAACCAAGATGAAGTGATTTGATCAAGGTCTCTCCATACCAAATCTCCCGACTCCTATCCCAAGCTTTTTTTTTCCTCAGCCAATCTTTCCAGCTTTCTCTTCTGCGTCCCGCCTTCTTCCGATGTCCAGTGCGGAGCAGCCAAACGCGGCTTCGGGCGGGTTCTCTGGGACTCCACAGGGGCCGGTTTCCGTTCCGGGGAATGTCCTTGCAGAGCTGCCCTCACCTCGACGGTGCCCACGCGAAGATGGGCAGGCTGGCGCCGCCGCTGCTGCAGGGGACGCGGCGCGCGGGACTCTGTCGCGCCCCTCTCAGACCCTGGATTCTCCACGGGGTGGGTCTCAGGCGAGGCTGGCGTGAGGGTGCGCGCGGCCAGGAACCCGCGGGGACCCGCAGGGAGAGGGTTGCCATCTCAACCGGCGCGCTCCTCCGCCCCAAGCCCCACCCCCAGGTGAACTGGCTCGGACGCCTGAGCGTCCCTGGCCGAAGAAGGGGATTGGTGCACCGGGGGGCGGGTTTGGGCGCCGAGAGGATAAAGGCGCTGCGCCCCAGGGGCCGGATGAGGCTTCTGCTCGCGGTGCTTGGATTTCGGGCCACGTGCTGCTCCAGCTCCAGCGCCGCAGCGCAGCATCTCTGGGCGGCTGCGTCGGAAGGTCAGTGCGGAGGTGGCCGGAGGGTTCCCCCCGGTGGCTGTCCTGAGGGGCCGAGCACCCTTTGGGAGCAGAGGCCGACGTCGCGGGGCCCCCTATTCCCGGCTGGCCGGATCCGTGTGACCCGGGCGCGGCGCCGCAGACTGTGCACTCGTCGGCGTGAGCGCGGGTCCCCAGCCATCGCTGTGGAACTGGGAGGTCAGCGCCGGGGCCAGGAGAAGTCCGGAGCTCTGCTGGAGTCCGCAGGGCAAGACACCCTGCCTCTCCCACTCTTGGGAATAGGGAATAGGAGCGGCTGTACTCATAAAACCGGTCTATCCAGTCATCTCTCGGCGAGGGTAGGGTCCTACTCCTTTTCCACAGGGAGCCGGGCTGAGGTCAGAGACCGGTGTGTGGCTCAAGTTCCTGCTTTTTTCGGGTTCCCTCTCCCCCGCAGGTGTGCTTGGGAAGAAGGGGAAGCCCGCTCCGCAGAGCCAGACCTCCCTCTGTAGCTCAGGCTTAGAGCTCCGGGATTCCTTCCACCCCTCTCCTCCACCCCCGACACTTTGTCTTTCGGATGATCCCCTCAGTAAAGCCAGACGGGACCAGATCGTTGAAGACTTTACATTGTTTGAGCAGTTTGCTAAGTTCTTTTCATAGATCGACTTTTATTAAATTCTTTCAGCCATCTAGTTTGATGGTCCTATCATTGTCCCCTTCTAAGGATGAAGAAAATTAAGGTTTGGCAAGGTAGTGTATGTAGGCTCACACAGCAAAAGAGTGCGGTGTGTGGCCTTTGAACACCCCCCCCCCGCCCCCCCAGGCTGGTGGGTGCTCTCCTCCTGGGGAGAAGGGAGGAGGAGCCTGGTGGGGAAGGTGCCCTCTGCGCGACCAGGGCAGTGTTCCCTCCTTGTTTGCTCTTGGGTACCTGATCTCATTCCTTCTCTTGAGGAAGAATAGGGGTTTGTTTAAGACTCAAGAAACCTGGTTTCCTCTGGTCCCCTCTTGGTAATTAGTATCTGTCTGACCTTGGGCAGGTCAATTCATCCTGTGAAATGGAGAAAAGATCCCAGCTTCAGAGTTACTGTGAAGGTTAAATAAGAGTTCAGGAAAGTAGGTGCTTGTCAACCCTCAGTAATTATGAGGTGCCTGATTTTCCCTTGGGTCATTGCAGTTAAGAGGACACATTTATTGTTATTATTTAATGAACCAGAGATTGAAAGCTGAGGCTGCCTTGCAAATGTGTGTGATAAGCATTATTCGTTCTCAAAGCAGAATTCCAGGTGAGAGAACCCAGGGGACATGAAGGTGGGCCTGGTCAGCAGTGTCCTGTAAAAGTGGGAGAGGGCACTCAGGCCTGGAAGTTGCCAACTAAGCCATGACTGACCTTTTGTGAAAGCAGTTTCACTGACTGGAGCAGGAAGCTCCACCTTGAGGGGCAAGGAGTGAAGGTTTGGAGTAGTTTAGGGTTCCTGGAGACCCCTGAGACTGGAAGAAAAGATGAAGGCAGTAGGAGAACAATAAATTTCAGCAGGTTCGTAAGTGAAGAAAAAACGGATGGGGGTTCAGTGGGACAAGGGCTTGGGAGTTTGGACAAGACTGGGGTTTGGTAGGCAATTGAATTGTCAAGTCTCTGTGGGCAGCACTGATCTTCATTGGGTGAGTTTTCTAGCTCCTCAGCAATATGTGCATGCACAGACCATTTCTTGGGGCTGGAGACTTTTTTAATTTAAATTTTATTTCAATTGTGGTTTCGATCAAATCACAAAATTTACCGTATTAACCATTTTTAAGTGTACAGTTCAGTAATGGTAAGTGTGTGTATTCATATTGTTGTGCAACAGATCTTTAGAACTTCTTCATCTTGCATAACAAACTATGCCGATTAATTAAACATGAATATTTCTTTCCCTGTTCACCCACCCCTTGGCAACTACCTTTCTACTTCCTGTCGCTATGATTTTTGACTACTTTAGATAACCCATAACTCATACAAGTGGAATCACACAATATTTGGCCTTTTGTGACTGGCTTATGTACTTGGCATAATGTCCTCAAGTTTCATCCATGTTGTTGCATGTGACAAGATCTCCTTTTTCAAGGCTAAATAATATTCCATTGCATGTATATACCACATTTTCTTGATCCATTCACCTATCAGGGGATGAATACTTTTAGCTTCATGCTTAGTGTACTGGAGACATTACTGAATACACTGTTATTTACTATCTCCATAGCTAAGAATGATTAGAGCTAGACATTTGGGAAGATCACAAGACCTAAAACCAACACATCCAAAACCAAGCTCATGTCTCTTCTCACTTGACCTGCTTTTCCAGGAAGCCCATTCTTGTATCAGTGCAAATTAGAGACCTCAGTATTATCCTTCTTGATTCCTTTACTATCCCTCTACCATATCCAAACAATTACCAAAGCCAGTTGAGCTCTGAGTCTCTCTCTATCACCCCCACCCTCTTGGTGATGCCACTACTGTTTTACAGTTCTGCTGTGGTTCGTGTAAATAAGGGTATATATATTCCAGGAGATGGGAGAAGTTGTATAAGAACCACCCAATAGAAGCCTGGTTGGGGAGGCGTTCCATTATTTCTGGAAGAGAGTCTATTGATTGTTTCTTTTTTATCTCTTTGCAATTAAAGTAAACAAGGTGTTTGGTAAAGTTTATGTGCTATCACCTGATCTTTAAGGAGGGACTGAGAATCTTCTTTGGTGGTTTCCCTATATAATTTTAGTAACTAGCTTGGCAAAGCAAGTATTACTTTAGAACAACTGTTCTCAAAGCATAATCTGGAGAACCCTGGGGTTCCCTAAGATCTTTCGTAGGGTCTGTGAGGTCAAACTATTTTCAAAATAATACTAAGATGCGATTTGCCTTTTTCATTCTTTCTCTACAAGAGTACAGTGGAGTTTTCCAGAGGCTACATAACTTGTGATGAGCTTTCCCTCTGATGGCTAATGAAAAGTGTGCTTGTGTATTCTTGTGTTTCTAGAATCTTCTAAGGTAGTAGGCTTAGGGTATAAATGTGTACATTTTCAGAGATGAACTCAGTTTGTTCTTAGCACTTCTACTGCACACTTACTAGCTACCTTCAGTTATACCTGCTGTCATCTGTGACTTCATTTTCTCTTAATAAGGCATTACTTTCAAATTCCTAAGTTTTTCCTTGTCCCTATATGGAAAACAATAAAAAGTAAGTATACTTTGTAGTTTTGATTTGAAAACTTCACTGAATTTTTAAAAGATATAAAAATTCTCTCAGATTTACTATTTCATCCTAAAATAAAAGGACGTTAACGTATATAGTTTTTATATTTAAGGATAGATTGTTGACTGAAAAGGGGGATGTTAGAATACTTGATTTTTCTACTCAAAGCTACACCATCCATGTCTGTAAATGCTGAGAAAAAAATGAAATGACATATCAGAGTTTCTTGACTTGCGAAAGGGAGGGATTTACTCCAGAGAAATGGACAAAACTAAAGACATAAAAATATGAATGCTTTCCTCAGTTTTACAGATGTTAGCAATTTACCTTATGTGTCTAATGCCACAGAGCCCTTTTGAATAAAATGATGCCAGTAACATTATTCTGAAACGAACTATTCGGAATTATCTAAACAAAAAATAATTGAATGGCTTAAATGTAGATATGATGAGCTCTTTAGAAGCCAAAAGTTATTCATTACAGCTTCCCAAACTAGAAATGAAAAAGCTATTGAAACATCTAACAGGATAATATCAAATTGCAGTGGCCGGAGAAACACACAATAAAGCTTTGTTTGGATGAAAAAGCATTGAAAGAAATCATAGCACTGCCACTTTCTAATAATACAGAAATTGGTCAAATTAAAAATTTAGCTGCAGACATGAAGACTGAATTAGTATCTTAGTAGAAGCGTATTGTTGCTTTACAGATGGAAGAATTTACAGCCATGGCTGGATTTGCCATTTTGTTTGTATTCTTCTGGTATCAACACCAAACCAATCATCAAAGAATATCTTTTTAGTGAATGCTTGCCAGCACATACAAGTAGGGACAACGTATTCAGTATAGAATAACTTTTTGAATTTCATGTTTTACGCTGGAACACCTGTGTTGAATTTGCACTGATGACGCAAACACAGTACTGGATAAAACTACTGGTGCCTTTGCACAAACCAAGGCCATGGCATCAAACTGTACCAATAGACATGGTATTTTTCATATACTTTCAAGAGAAAAAGAACACAATGCCACTTTACTTAAGAATGTTCTTTATGGAACAGTAAAAAATGATGGATTTCATTATTATAAATCTTTTTAGTATGCCATGTGTTGAATGAATGCACTTGTTCTGTGTTGGTGTGTAATGGCTGTCTCAAGGTAAAGCATGTGTGTGATTGAGTTGTAAGCTGAACTGGACCTCCTTTTTTTTCATAGAGAACCATTTTTGCTTCAAAAAATGACAGGCAAACTATGGTTATTCATACTCTGGTAATTGGAATATATTTTCTAAAACAAAATGAACCAAATGAGCCTGTGGCTTCAAGGAAACAACTAATGGTATTTGTTACCAATTAACTTGTATCCACCACCATGAGCTTGATAGCTTCCCAATACTTAGGAATTTTCTAATGAGATCAGTGGTGATATTAACCAGAATGATTTTGATGCTATATAGGGAAGTGTGTTAACATTTGGAAGTTCTGCATAAATTACTGAACACAGTATTTTCCGAAAGACCAATGCATGAAATTACAAAATCCTGCAGGGGTAAAACGTCCATTTGAAGCATTAGATAGACCATTGGGTTTTCATGTAACAGGGTCTGAAAGGTTCATTGATATGGCTTCAGATTCTACATTGCAACTAACCTTTAGGAAACTACCATATGTTGGGCTGGCCGAGTGGCACATTGGTTAAGAGCTGACTTGGGACGCCAGCTCTGAGCAGCAGGGCCCTGGTTCAGATCCCACATGAGGGCCAGTGACACTGCTCTGTATAGCTAAGATGGTGAACAACAGC